TCTTTGTTGTGGAAATACCTTTCTTGCCCATTAATTTTGAAAGATAGTTTTGTAGGCTATATCAATCTGGGTTGGAAGTTGTTTCATTTCAGGTCTTTAAATACTTCAATCTTTCCTGGACTTGAGGATTTGAGAAATTTGCAGTGATTCTGATTTCCTTTACAAGTGATTAGTTTTTTTTTCTAAAAGCTTTTAATATTTTGTTCTGGTATTGAACTTTTGGAATTATTGTATGCCTTTCTGAGGTTTATTTTGTTCATGATTGGCTGAATTTCTGTATACCTCACTTACTATGTCACATTCTTTTACCGTGCTTGGGAAGGTTTCTGCTATTATTTCTGTGAATGGAGTTTTATGTCATCTGTGCTGACTCCTTTTCACTAATTCCAATCAACTTTATGTTGTTTTCTTTTTCATCATCTTGCTGTTGTGGGAACATTCCTTTCATGGTCCCTTGCTGTTTTAAAGAGATCTTTACATGATCACTAACTGCAATTCAGTCTTCTAGGTCTGATATTCTATCTTCATGTTACCTCATTTGATTCTGAAAACTTTCAATAGCTTTTAATTTCTTGGATATCTATTTGAATCTATTTCACGGATTCCATTTCTTTCCTATGTTGGGCATTCATGGTTTCCATAACTTTTCTAAGCACTTCTATTTTTTAAATCTATGTCCACTCTGGATTTGCTGAGCAAGTCCTTCATTATGTTCATCATCTTTTTTTTTTTTTTAACATGAAATTAGTTCTGTTCTATTTCCTCAGATATATATCTTTTTATTTCTTACCACCGCCATTCCAGAAAATTCAGGTGAATGGCTTCTGATTTTCTCTATCTCAGTGTCCCTTGTATTTGTCCTGGGGAGGTGCTGGAGGTCTGGGGTTGCCTTTTGCTTCTCATCTTGTCATTTTTTATTTTTTCACTTTGTGTTCTGTGTTGTTGTTTGCATTAAGCAGTTTTACCACTGGTATTAAAGCTTCTGCAGGAAATATTTCTTCCTCTAAGATGTCTTCTAAGTATAGCTGTCTGTTGGTCTTTGTGTATGTCCCAAGATTCTGCCTTCCCTATTTATTAGAGATAAGGAGTTATTATCTATTTGGCTCAGCATTCAGTCCTTTGGTGCTGAGCAATAGGGATAATTACGACCTCAGATTATCACTGTGTTGTCATACAAGGGTAAACAACTGATTACAAGTATGGTATCTTGGCAAAATAATACAATAACAACAAATCATTTGCTTGGCAAGTGCAAGGTCCTGAGTTTGATCCCTGGTACTACCAAAAACAAAACAAAACAAAACAAAACGAAAAATACTATCTATCTATCTATCTATCTATCTATCTATCTATCTATCTATCTATCTATCTATCTATCTATTTCATGAAGCACAGCCATCATGGGTACTCACGTGTGAGGTAGGACAAAACTATGGGCAACCATTTTACAAGTACACCTGCTCAGGTAAAATAGATTAGATCAGGATCAAAGGGGAAGTGAGTCACATAGTAAGTGGGTGTGAATATGGAACAGGAGTATTTCCTGTTGGGGGTTGGGTTAATGAATCTTTCTGGTTTTTTAAGGGTATTGATACCTATTTAGAATATCAATCCCTGATGCCCATCCCAAGGGAAGTATATGGCTGCTTCTGTTTATTCTTTGTCTTGAGATCTGGCACACAGCAGGAGTGTCTGTCTCTTCCAAAGTTGCAAGGTCATCTTGTCTTGCATATTGTCTCCTTGAGGGCATAGCCCTGTCTGACTGCCTATAATATGTCTATCTAATTTAGCTGTGTACAACACCAGGACTGCTGAAAGGAACCTTAAAGACCTAAGAAAGAAAATGCTCACAACAGGGGCTGGGGAGATGGCTCAGTAGAATAAGTGCTTTCCTAACAAGTGCAATGGCCTGAGTTCAATCCCCGGTTCTGCAAAAAAAAAAAAAAAAAAAAAAAACACTCACAACAGATAAAAATTAACAAGTTTAAATTTGAATTTAAAAAGGTCTTTTATCTTTAAATTTACTTGGTGTTCCAAGAGCCACATTTGGAAAAGAACATTCTGTAGAGGGCCATCTACAAGGAAACCTTTTGGCACCACTTAGGTGCTCCCCTTTGCCTCCAGTAGGAGGAAGAAGAAGCTCAAGAGGCTCCTCTGGATAATAAGATTAGCAATCAAAAAGGAGACTCAAGCTGTGTGACAGCTTTACTGATCCTCACAGAGCTTCTGATACTAGGTTCCCATTACTGCCAACAAAACAGGACTATAAGATGATTCCTCCACCAACCATATCCTAATCTAACTCTTCCTCTACAAGGCAGGATAGATTTAAATTGTTATAGACAGTGAGAGGCAGCAGAATTTGTAACTTTGAGAATGCAATCTTTGTTTTTTTTTTTTGTTTTTTTCTTTTTTTGATCCAGTAGACAGGTCACTCTCTATAAATGGAACCCAACAAAAATGCTATCAAAGAAGAGCTTGGTGATTCAAATTGTGCCTCATTTATCTCTCCCTGCTGAAAGCAAGTAATGCGCCTGGGCTGTTCCTTTACTCTTTCCTCTTGGTAGAGGTCAATCCTTTCTCCTGCATCTAAGTAGCCAGGTCATAAGATTTTCTTTCAGTTCCTCCAGTAAACATGGGATGGAGCATCTCAAGATTATTTTCCATCAACATATTTCTCTGGCCCATGTCTTTCATTCCCAGGAAAAAAAGGTCTGTTTACTATGAGGTTGTCCTCCAAATGATTCTCTGAGAGTTGTATTGTCTTCCCCCACTACACTTTGTGAAAACAGCTCCTTTCAGGATTAATTCAGCCTGCTGCTGAACTTCCTGAACCACAACAAAAACCTGACTTTTTTTCTTTTTGCCTTTTTCAGACAGGGTCTCGCTATGCAGATCAGTCTGGTCTTGAGCTCACTTTGTAGCCCATGCTGGTCTCAAACTCCCAAAGAGCCTCCTGCCTCAGGCTCCCAAGCACTGCACAACCATGCTCAGGCTGATACAGTTTTTTTTTTTTTTTTTCTGATATGTTTTTATATCTCTTCAAAAGTAATTTGGAGGGCTGGGGAGATAGCTTAGCAGAAAACGTCCTGAGTTCAATCCTCAGTACCACAAAAAAATAAATAAATAAAATAAAAAATAAATAAAGTAATTTGGACATTTCTTTCATTTTCAGTTTATCATTTTAGGATGATATTTTGTAAATCAGGACAATTTAAAGGTGAAAAATCCAAATCCTCAGATCATAAATCTACATTAAATATCAGCTAATAAAAATGAACAAAGTGTGTATTTTACTATGTAGTATGGCAACTGCTATGAACATCTTTTGCTTTGCCTTTTTCTATGCAATAGAGTTCCAAGAACAACAAATGTGAATTTATTTTGAGTCTCTCAATCACAGTTTACTTTACCAATTTAGTTCCATAAAAATCTTACTTAAAAAATGTGAAGTGAAATTCATGAATTCAAATAACCTGCTTTGGCTCACTGGGATTTTCTCTAGTTGGTTTTTATGCCTCTGGAAAACAACCTGAGCTAAAAGCACAGTAAGATTTAGCAATAAACTGACAGCAACTGCTTTCCAGTTCTCAAGAACTAGTTAAATAAGAAAGATTCAGGGTAATTAACTACATTGTAAGCATCTTACAGGAAATTTAAATTGTAAATATAATTAACAGATAAGATTTTTGGGCAGGGATTTCTCTAGCTTTCTCAAAATGATTACGTAACTAAGCATAGAAAAAGAAAAATTTCTTAAAATTACATCTTATACGGACTCGGAAGATAGTTTGGCAGTCTAAGTGCCATCCTTGCAAGCACAAGGACCTAGATTCAATCCCGTGTACTGTGCTGGACCTGGAACCTGGGAGCACTATGCTGGCCACTGAAAGAAAGTATGGTGGTACACTTCTGTAATCCCAGCACTGGGGAGGCTGAGATAGGAGTATCAGTAGAGTCCAAGCTGCTTGGGGAGATCTTGTACTAAATTAATTAAAAAATTACATTCTATGGCAATCTTGAATACTGCATGCTAAATATGGTTGATTTAAAAAATTTTAGCATAACATAATTGATAATACTTATTTACTTTTATTCATTATTACTCTATTTTTCCTTTACCTTTAAGAGAAAAATAGCAAATTTGTTCTCTAGCTTTTAGCTGAGGTTAAGACATGCTGAGATATATGATGCTTTTAATAATTAGCCCTATTTAAAACGTGTATAAAGTTTCAATACAAAAGTAAAACAATACCTAACAAAGTAGTAATTTCAGAAATAGATTAATAATATAATAAAACCTTACCTTAGTAAATATTTCTGTGTCCTCAATACTTAAGATAGGATGCAACTAAAATTTGAAAATACTTAAAAACGAATATTTACAAGTTACAAAATTTCTGTAACTTTTGAAGAACATGAATCTGGAATCTCCAACTATAAAAACTGTTAAATGATGCATGAAAATAGTAATGAGTGAGGGCTTTACAAGCATAGACTACAGAATATCTAACATTCATTAGTTAATTAAAAAAATTAAGATATTAAAAGAGCATGTACTTCCAGTAATATGAAGAGACTATAAATTGTGAAATCGTAAAATAACTATCCTGAGCTAAATTGCAGAAGTACTGTTTAAAATTATTTCAGTGAGGTTATAACGCTTGGGTATGCTTTGTTTCTCCCAGTGTTCTCTTCTATACAAAATTTGGTGGGTGTGGGGAAGCACACTTGTAATCCCAGTACTCTGGCAATCTGAAGCAAGAGGATTAAAGTTTGAGCCCAGCCTGTGGCAAGGCTCTTGTCTCAAAACAAAAAAATGAAAAAAATGGCTGGGCATGCAGTTCACTGTAAAGACCCTGGGTTCAAAACTGGAAAAAAAAAAAAAAAAAAAAAAAAAGCAAAAGAGAAGTGATCAAGAAAATATACAATGAAAGTACACCATGAATTTTAAAAAAAGGTCCAAATATAAAATATTCATGATATCAAATTGGGAAAAATTAAAAGTTTCATGTTTATTGACAATACAATCACTCTAGAAAAGTATTTTTGTAGAATCTACAAGGCTAAGTACATTACCACTCTATTATGCACTAATTCACACTGTAGGCATAAGAAGTGCATTTCCCATTACACGATATGTACAAGAATGTCCATAACTGCTATATTCTTAATGTTCAAAATTTGAAAACAACCCAAAAGTTCTAACCAAACACCACCACCATATCTATAATTATAAGTGCAAGAAAGCGCATACAATATTTCAGATGTTTAGATCTATTTTTTTAAGAAGTTTGAGAAGAGGCAAAATGAAGATGAAGCCAGTGTAGTGGTATTCGGGGAGGTGGTAGTGCCTGCAAAAGAGGCATAACATTTTGGGTGCTAGGATTTTCTGCTTTTATCTGAGATCATAGCCTATGACACAATACAACAAATCACTGAACACAGAACAAATAAATGAGAAAATTCAATTAAATTCATTAAGATTTAGGATTGTGTAAAAATTAAATGTTAAGTTTATATATTATACTTTATCAGTGATGATGAACCTTTTAGAGCTTTCAGTATTTAAAAATATCCTCACCACCACAGCACTGTATTATTTTTTTGTTTGTTTTGGGAATTAAGCTCAGGATGTTATAATTGCCAGTCAGGCATTTGTGCCACTGGGTTCTTTCCCTGGCCTTGCTTTTGCTCTGCATTTTTCTTTACGAACGTCTAACTCACAGTAAAGATTGGAACAATTCATTGACTTTTTTATAACTATATTTACCATTAACAAAGATTGCTAACATAATTTAGAAAGTATAATTATCCAACCACAAACTCACTGATAATATATTTTAAAAATATTAGAATCAAAGTTTCTTTGGGGCTGGTTTAAGTGAAAGATATTTTTTATTAAATAAGCCATTTACTTATATTGTTTCTTAAATGCTTTAGTTTTAAAAATAAAACAATATATAAAAGCAGCTGTTTACTCTCTTGATTTATTGTAAGTATTAAAAATTATGACTCAAGATGGCATATTGGGGGATTTTGTGTTTCCTGACACTATGAATAGTCAAAAATAAATTGTATTTTATCATCCAGAAAGAAAAAAAGTATCCACAGTTGAAAATACAGTTTTTCAAAAAAGGTTGAGAGTAAAATAATCTAATGCAGAATTCTTGACAAAGAAATGAGGCAACTTCTAATTAAAACTACAAATTTAAATTAAGTAGCTTTATAAAACATTGAAAACTAGCTAAAATTACATGCATAGGCATTTAATCAATAAGAGGAATAGCAGTGAAGTTTAAATATGATAGGATTTATCAATAAATAAACATTTTTAGTGCAAATAGTGCAGAAAAATTCCTCAAAGATGATAGCAATCATTCTAATCTATACAAAATCAGTCTCAGTCCTATATACAATCTATATTGTACTGTATATTTGTGAATTCTGCCACTGTGATGAAATGCCGACTTGCAAATCATAACACAATGTGCTTAGCTTCATGTCCCACTTTTCTCTTGGCAGTTCATGTTTTCAGGAAAATCTGGAAAGAAAAGAAAATTTTAGATTTCTAAGATTTAAGATGATAAAATTTCAACCCTTTATGTTCTTTGCAATTAAAATTTACATAAAAAATAACTTGATTAGAAGGGAATGGGGTGAGGAAAAGATTTTAGTATTGTCATATTAATAAGCAATTTTTCGAAGTTAATTTTTTTGTAACGCTGCTGAGAATACAAATTTGCTATAAAAATTAGCCCTACATTTAAGAAGATTTCCCCTACAAAGCTCAAAAAATAAGATATAAAACAATTCAAAACTGGTAGCAACGTGAAACATAGGGACAGATGAATTTGAACTGAATATGAGAAAGGTCTGCCACCTCTTCCCAGGAGTGTACTTCCTTTTTAAGGAGAATTCCCAAGTTCTTTCCCCAAGTCTACCCTTTCAGCCCAGTGGGTTGATTAGAGGACCACATAATACTAATTACCCAGGCCAAATTAATTAGGCCTGGATGTACATCTCACCTCTCTCTTTCCTGAAAATTTGTGTTAGAGCTCCAGAGACTTGCTAGACTCCACTGGCTGCATGCATTGTCAGATGACATAATCGACTGTTGGCAGCAGTGGTGAAGGGTGATTGAAAGCATGTGCTTAGAATTAATAAGGCCCTGGGCTTCATCCCAGCTCTCCCAAAAGAAAAAAAAAAAAAAAAAAAAAAAAGCTTAGGAAGAAAGAGGAGCTGTATTTTATTTGTTTCCATTATGTATCTCTGACTTATCAAATAACCTTGGTTTTACTTAAGTTTGCTGGAGATTTATTCTTACACTCAGTCATTCCTAAAGCAAAACAGATAGAGAGGGGAAGGAAAAACATCAGGTGAAAAATGATGAGTTGGTAGGGAAAATACAGAACATATAAGATAACAAAAGGGGAAAATGGAAAATTAAAATGAAACATCTGGAATGTGTGCCAGATTATAAAATTTTAAAACCAAAGAAAAATTTGGCACGTATACTGTCCTGGCTCACTATATTTTTTTTTTTTTTTTTTTTTGAAAACATGGATTGAACTCAGGCCCTTGCGCTTGCTAGGTAAGCGCTTATTCTACTGAGCTATCTCCCCAGCCCTTCACTATAATTTTTGCAGCACAGAAATTTTACAACACACGTGGTACTCAGGAACATCATTTTGTTATTTCTGTGTAGGAAGAGCACTAATGTCAGTAGAAAATTACTGAAGTAATCTGAGTGTGAGAAGAGAAGAGACAGACTGAAAGTTCATTTCACAGGAAGAAATGATAAGACCATTGAATAATAAGTCAGCCAAGAAATATGGTATATGCTACATATCAGCTAGGAGAAAGGAACTAATTATAATTGGAAATTCTTCTCATCTTAACCAATATCCAAAAGATTAATGGTTATATGCTTATTTATAACATATTTAATATAATACAAAGTGTATGTTACAAAATATAATAGCTATAAGAATGGAATTACTTTTAAATCTGTCTAAACAAGCACTGTGAAGAACAGTTTGATTCAAAAATACTTATGCAAGAACCCTAAGACTTGAAACTGGAATAGACTTACCTATAGAGGAGCATGAAAATGGCTGTGCATCGCTATCACCTGTTGAAGTTTCTCTTCCTTGGCTCTTCTACAATGGCAAATCTAGAAGATAAATTATTTAGAATGTCAGTCACTTCCTCCAAAATACAAAATACAATGTTACAACAAAATTCTAAGTAGGAGACCTTTAACCTGCCATTACGTCAAGTTTTAAATGCTGAAGGTAGTTAATACTTCCTATCAGAGAAGTATGCAATTTTATGTATAAGATAGTCTTTACCTTCAATATAAAATAAACCCTGATCCTTTACATCAATTCTCTGAGTATTTATTTTCAATATCTGTATTTCTAAAATATGGTAGAAATCTTATTGCTAGCCATAAAGATAAATAAAAATCTCCAGGCACAGATACAGTTAGAATAATGGACCAGAAATCAATGCCTTACTCATACTGCAATGTAGGCAAGTCACTATTGCCCTGCACTTTAACTCTCACAAAAATTAAAGATAAGTCTGCATCCCACCTGCCTTAATATTATACATAATATGTCATATATTTCATAATTTTACTAATTAAATATTATGTTTTGGGATGTTTCAGAGAAAGTAGGTAAATATTGGCCAGTTGTGGTGCATGCCTGTAATCCCAGAACATGGGAGGTTAAGGCCGGAGGATCACCATGAGTTTGAAGCCAGCTTATGCTACACAGTGAGTTCAGGACCGGTCTCAACTACACAAGACCCTGTCTCAAAAAAAAACCCAAAAAACACAAAAAAACACAGAGAAAGGAGGTAAATATTTATGATTTTACTAAAGGGATTTATTTTGGCTTTTTTAAAATACAATGGAAAAAATCAACAGAAGCTATTTCAGAATATTCTCTTTGTTTAAAGTTTAGTCTGTACAAGTTATTGTCTCTTAAACAATTTATAAAATAAGTTATTCAGAAGTATGTAACAACTGTTAAAACCTGTGCTGACTTACCAGCTACTAGGTTGCTAGTTACCAGCATTTTTGAAAAAGAACTATTATGGTATTTGATTTATCTGCTTGTGTACTCAGAACAAGCAGGTTTAAAGTGACAGTGGAATGTTGCTATCCTTCCCAATAAAGGCTCTTCAGATTCCTCTCATAGTATTCAAATCTCCAGCTCAGTAACAAGCTGAAGAGTGTACTTTAATTGTATTTAAGTAATTTGATATTATGTTGTTATTTATCCTTAACTGAAGAGTTACATACTGTTCTTTTTTCCATGAAGCTACTGAGAAAATCATCTATTTCAGTTTTTCCCTCCAAGAAATCTTCAGCAATATTATCAGATTCTTCCTCAGCTTCATGTGCAGCTACTTTCAATCTTGCCTGTAGGGTACTTGCACTACAGCTCTGAAAACAAAAATAAAAATCTGCCAGTCATTACATCCTCAGACTTCTGAGAGGGAAAGAAAAGAGGCACAGAAATGTAGAAGCAACTTGTCATATGCTACCTATAGCCTCTTCTTCAGTGTTTGGATATGATGTAGACAAAGAAACCAATCCACTGGCTGCAAACTATTGAATGAAAAACTGGACAAATCCTGGTCTTTTCCTGGGTTTTTTTTTTTTTTTTTTTTTTTTTTTTTTTTTTTTTTTTTGGTGGAACCGAGGATTGAACTCAGGCCCTTGCACTCGCCAGGCAAGTGCTTATTCCACTGAGCCATCTCCCCAGCCCCACTCCTGGGTATTTTGGAATTCAGTGGCTGTGGACAGCACTAAGTGACTCCTTACTTGTTGGTATTCCTGTTCTTGTTTATTGATCTTTCCTGAGGTGTGGGCTGGACCTAGAGATTCACTTCTAATGGGCAGAATATAGCAACAGTGATGGGAACCAGAGCTGGAAGACACTGTGGTAGAAGACTGAAAACTACAAAACACTACAAAAAAAATACTTAAAGACATGAATTAGAAAGACATCCCATATTGATGGGTTGGAACACATAGATGACAACACTAACCGAAGTAATTTAAAAATTGAAATCTATAAACTGTATTTGTAGAAAGAGAAAAACCCATTGTAAAACTTATAGAGAATCTCATGTTGCAACAGTCAAAAAAATCTAGAAATAAGAATAATGGAAGATTCATACTTTCTGGTTTCAAAACGTACTACAAAGCTAGGTTAACTGAAATAGTATGGTACTGGCATAATAAGAACATAAAGACTGAACATAATAGAGAGCCAAGAAATAAACTCTCACATAGAAGACTAATGATTTCTGGCAAGGGTGTCCAATCCCACTCACTAGAGAAAGGAGAGTCTTTTTAGTAAGTGGTGCTGAAAATGCTGAATATCTATATGCAAGAGAATAAAGCTGGCCCCTTATTTTACTTAATAGACAAAAATTAACTCAAGATGGATCAAAGACCTAAATGTAAGAAATGAAAACATCTTTAATAATCACCCTCGATTACTGGAGTAGGTATCTCACTGGGATGCATCACAAGAAAAAAATGTACGTTAATTTACAATTTTCCCATTACCCTTATTAAAGCTGGTTATCTTTTTTGGTTTTTGAAACATGGTTTCACTATGTACTTCAGGCTGGCCCTGAACTCACTATGTAGTCCAAGCTGGTCTCAAGCTCACAGCCCTGGCTGAGCTTCCCAAGTGCTGGTATTACAGGAGCGCACTACCATGCCTGGGTTGGTTATCTATCTTTACAAGTCTGGATCACATGTATAATGTTTATTTTGCTTTTGAAAATATGATGGTAAAATATAATGTATTTTTAAATGGTTTTCTTTACCATATTATTGAGTACCTACTATGTGCTAAGCAATGGACCAGGTATTAGGTAATACAGAAGGAGATTAAACAGGACAAGTCCCTGCACTCATATAACCAGCCATTTACTGATGTGGTTCTCACACTTGAGAGTACAAAGCAGTCATTTTCATCAGCTTAAGTGAGCATATGTACAGTCCCTGTAGAGAGATCAAAAATCAAGGTGGATTTTGTTTTTTAATTTTTAAATGTTTCAATAATCATGTAAGCAATTCTTATATAAACATTCAATGGTAAGAATAACTGTTACAGCAGAAGATTTATTGGCTGTCATATTTCTCCTTTGGTTAAGTTTCTTGTTTTCTCCTTTGCTTTTTATATAGCACTAGCATTAATATTTGTACCACATATGCTAAAAACATGTGCTCCCTTTTCTACTTCACTTTTTTAGGATTTTAGTCTATAAATTTGTATATTGTTAAATGTAACAACTGTTGCCTTTATGGTTCTCTTTAATTATGCTTAGAAAGATTTTTTTATACCATAATCTTTGAAAAATCTTAGGAGTCAGTTGCCTTTTATGATTTCCACTGAAAATAGCTTATCTGTAATATCTTTCTATGTCCTTAGAAAAATAATATTTTTCTCCTTACTTCTTTTTTGTTCAACCTCTTTTTTTTGTTGTTCAACCTCTTTCTATTTAGCCTATTTATTTAGATAAACTTTAGAATAATCTGTCAAGATGTCTAAAAAATACTTTTGGGATTTTGATTGGAAATTTATTACAAATTTGTAAGTTATTTTAGGAAGAATGAAATCTTTGTAATACTCTTTCTCATCTATGGATATTCTATGTTGTTCTACAAAAATATGCTTTAATTTCATGAAAGTTTCACTCACTTTATTGAGCTCATTTCTAAGTACCTTATATTTTTTACTGAAGCTGAAAACGATTTTTTCTCTATTTCTTTTTGTAATAGTAAGTGCTGAAACATAGGGACAAATTTTTCCCTAGAATCTTGGATTTGTTTTTGGTAAGCAACTGTTTTACCTCTTCACATATAGTGTACCTCTTTTCTCTTTCTTATCTTATTGTAGTATTTAGAACCTCCTAAGCAACGTTAACTGGTCAGTAACAATGGGACATTACTCCTTTATTCTTGACATTAACAAGATACTGCAAATTCTTAGGCATTAGGTATATTTAATGATGGTTTCTAAACTTTTTTTTAAATAAAAAATTACTTTCTTTCTGTAGCTTACTAGAAGTTTGCTACAGGAATGATGCTGACTGCTGTAAAGATTCTACATGTACAGAGCTGCACTATATGCTGAAGAGTACTTCAGCTGACCCTCACAGGGGCTCTTGCTGAGGTTTAAACTTCCAATTTACATGATGTCAAGGAAGTTACTCAACCTTTTTGTGTTTTGGTTTCTTCATCTGTAAAATGGAAAATGGGGAAAAAAATTACTTCATTGGGTTTGGGACAGTAAAAGGCCAATATGTGTATCGCTGATATAAAATATCTTTTTTTTTTTTTTTTTTGTACCAAGGACTGAACTCAGGACCTTGTGCTTGCCAGCCAGGCACTTAAGCAGCCCTAAAACACCTATTAATTGCACAATATGAGCTATTCTTGTTTCATTATACAGAAGAATCATATTATGTGAAACTCATACATTTATATTCTCTTAGTAATTTTTTCCTGTTTTTTACTTCTATCTTATGATATAGTACATAGGCCTTATCTTCTAAAACTCAATTTCAAAAGAAACATAGTATTATTAACTGTAATACTGCTTATTGGTATGTGCTATAATGATTATATCTTCTTTTTGTTTTGATTTTTGAGACAGGATCTTGCTATGCAATTTGGGATAGTCTTGAACTCAATATGTAGCTTGTAAATTCTTAAACTTACAGTGATCCTTCTTCCTCAGGCTCCTGAATGCTGGGATTACAGGTATGCACCACTTTGCCTGGCCCTCCTTTCTCTTTTATTTTTAAAAGATTTATTTTTTTTTCACCAGTACAGATTAAATTTTATAAACTATAATATTAATATTTTTAATTTGCTGCCTTTTCATTTAAGGTACCTGAACTCTCACAAGTAAGTTTAAAGTTTTATCTTGTTGTTACAAGAGTTACACAGCTTCCATAACTCATCAGAAGTTATTTATGAGAGCTTTTTACATTTTTCTGTTTTAGAATCAGCCATGCTCTTACATGAACACAATGATTTATCATATATCATAACTGGGAGTTTTTTATCTACATTCAAAGGAACTAAACCCTCTAAAGTTAGATGCTTAATAAATGGTTTCTAATAATAATAAGCAATTTGGCCTGTGGTCTTTAGGGTTGGAAGTCTGTATGGGAAAAGAAAAGAACTGGATAATCTTACCTCACTAAGTTCATGCTGCCTTTGCATCTTCTTTTCAAAAGCAGATTTCATTTGTGTAAGTAACTCATACTAAAGGTGAAAATAAAAAATGCTGTTTAATTCTATTTTAAAATTGAATAAATCTCTTCAATATAATCACCAACTCACTTTATCCAAAACAGTTTGCCTTTTCGCTTCTAAACTGGGTTCCAAAAGGAGATTTTTTCCTGTAAGATAAATAAATCTGGTTTACTTCCAAGGATTCACATTTTTGTTTTCCTTAAGAAATTAGAATTGAAGGAAAGGAACACATACGTGCTAATTCCTCTATACTTTTTACTAAGTCATCCTTGTCGGTAATAATTTGTTTTAGTTGAGGTAAGGTCAGAAACTGTTCTAGTAACACCTCCTCTTGTTCATTCATATCTGTGAGTTGTGACACACTAGAAACACAAAAGAAAAAAGGTTGTTAGTGAGTATCATTCATTTACATTTTCTCCATAATAAATATTCATAATTTTCATTTTTATTTAGCTGATAAAATTCTAAATAATTTCCCTACAAACATATAAGGATACTTGTAATCTTAAGAACAAATAACACATCAGTCATAGTATAACATAAGTCTAAAGCAGATTCTTTTTCAGGAAGTACATATAAAGGGAATAACTGGGTCAAATTGAATTTCCAGTTTAGTTTTATTGGGATATACAGATACCCTTTTATAGCAGCACTATTCATAATAGCTAAATCTTGGAAGCTGCCTATATGTGCATGATGAGATGAACAGGTAAAGAAAATGTGGTATTCATACACAATGGAGCACTACTCTGCCAAAAAGAACAAACCTGAGTCATTTGTAGAAAAATGGATGAATCTTGGAACCATAATGTTAAGTAAGATAAATCACACACACAAGCTTAAATATTGCATGTCTTCTCTTATATGAGAAACACAAAATACAGATAAAGTACAAAATAAAATACAGATCATAGGAAATAGGGAGAATGGGAAGTAGATGAAGAGTTAAGGGAAGGGGCTTGAAAAGGGAAGGTTATGAAAAAAATTAAGATATATACATGTACCAAGTCTCCATGAGGAATGTAATCATTATGTACTGTAAACATATACTAACAAAAAATAAAAATTTGAAAAAAAATCCTCAGATTTAACAGAATCTGGAGAAGTGAATTCTGATACAACAATGCATTTGCTTTCATTAAACTACTATGAAGCCAGCTGTTGGCGTGCATGCTGCAATCCCAGAATTTGTAAAGGTGAGGCAGGAGGACTGTCATGAGTTCTAGGCCAGCCTGAACTACACAGTGAGACCGTGTCTTAATCAATAGTAAGTAAGTGACAACTGCGAGAAAGTGTTCATTACACAGTGACCTAAAATCAGTCTAACTCAAGGAAAAAAAAAAGGATGAAACTGTGGGTCGTGGTTTAGCTATAGAATGTCCCCTTAAAGTCTTGTGTGTCTAGAGCTGGGGGTTTTGGAAGATAGCTGGATTATGGGGGTGCTACATGCCATCAGTAGACTGACTCACTGATAAGCTCATAGTTAAATGTGCTTTTAGGAGGTGAGGCATGGCTGGAAGAGGTGCCTATGACCCTGGGTGTGTGTTTTGAGAGGGCTTATAATCCTCCGTGGCTCCTGCTTCTCTGCTTCCTGGCTGCCATGAGGTAAGCAACTTTCCTCTACCATTTTATCTAGCTTGCAACTAGCCCACCATGGATGGAATCACTCTAAACTGCAAGCCAAATTAAACCTCTCTCCCTGTACACTGTGGGAGTTGAGTATTTCTTCCTCATGATAGAAAAGTTGACCAATACTAATATCATCTAGGTCTTGCCGTAATTTTGCTGAAGTTCCTTAAAATAGGAGAGCTATCATATAGTTAGATACTTCTTCTTGTTTTTATTTTTATTTATTTTATTTTTTTGTCTTTCTGATACAGGGTTTCACTATGCAGTTCAGGCTGGCCTTGAGCTCACAGCAACCTTCCTACCTCACCTCCCAAGTGCTGGGATTACAGGCATGTGCCCCTATACCCAGTCTTAATTCTGTTTGATTACGTTAGATTACCACTGATTTCTACAATTTCAAAGATAGGAACTGATCTTAATGATCTGTGAAAATTAACATGTTTAGAACTTGGCATGGTGGCACATGCTTTCAATCCCAGCACTCTAAAAGGCTGAGGGAGGAAGAACACAATTTCACTTGAATCTGAGCGAGACCCTGTACCAAATAAATAAATAAATAGATAAATAATTTTTAAAAAGCAGAACAACTTAACTTGTACTCATTAATCTTAGTCAGAATATGAGTATTGCTATTTTGAAAAATAACAAGTGCCCTTTCAGAGAAATGCATGATTCCAGGTCTAAGAAAAGAAAGGTTCATGCTGACCTCACAGTATTTTCTTACTGTCAGAAATAATACAGGAGCTGATTTAAGTTTCACTCATAAAGACAATTTCTAGACCTCAATGGTACATCAGCTCATTATTCTGAGTTGATAAATAAATGGGAAAACCTTTATCCTGTTTTCCCAGTCTGAAGTATATTTTAGTATAACTAGCTGATTAAAGAGAGCCCTTCATTAAAGAAATCTGGTTAATAAATTCTGGCAGTAGGATTGATAAAATCAGGAAATCACATTTGCAACTCTTTTTTTTTTTTTTTTTTTTTTCAATGTATTTGGTACAGGGCCTCACTACACAGTTCAGGACTCCTAGTGATCCTCCTGTTTTCAGCCTCCCCAGCGCTAAGATTACAGGCATGTGCCACTATACCCGGTCTCAGCTCAGTGTGCCCCGGGGTAGGGCCAGTGTGGCATGTGGTGCTAGGGATCAAATCCCAATCCCTGTGCTTGCCTAAGCAGGCACTTAGTCCACTGGACTATCTTGCTGGCCCTTACATTTGCAACTCTTAATGAAAAAACTGATAATCATTTTAATGGCTTCAACCCAATCTAATCTTAAACCATTACGAAGAGAGCAACCAGACATCATTGCTGCCTTATGCGATGTGTTTAGAGGTTCATACTAACTAGCAAAAGAACTGAACCTAAATCTTATCAATATTTCATTTCTATCCATCAATAGCATGAAATATAGGAAACAGAGTATCTTTAATGGCACCACAAAGATCAATCAGGCAAAAACAAAATCTGGGAGAATCTTTAGGACTAATGATGTATAATAATTATATATATATATATATATATATTCATAAAAGTATAAATACATGTGTGTATCTATGTGTGTGTATAGAGGTGGAAATGATTCATGATTAAAAGAAACTTAACAAAGCCAGTATTCAAGTGAACTCTACCAATAAAAAATTTAAGATACTGAGGAAATAACACTAAAGAATTATCATTGATTTTATTAAAGTATAATGATGACAGTGATTGGGGTGACGGGAGACAGACAGACAGAGACTGACCTTACTCAGTGCTTGCTTTGCATTTACTCAAGAATTCATGGATGAAAATATAGGACCCTGATTTGCTTTAAAATAGGCCTGACTCATACCCAGAGCTGCTCAAGACAAGCCACACACAAGAATATATACACAAAACAAAGAGGTTCTTAACTGTTGATGCTGATTGGTGAATACAGAGGCTTTATTCTCTTAACCATTTTGTAGCTGTGATATTTTGTAAGTTTTTTAAAGCAGAAAAATACTTTTAACTACTGGGGATTGAACTCTAGGGTCTTTGCAATGAGCTACATCCCTAGTCCTTTTTTATGTTTTATTTTGAGACAGGGTGTAAATTACCCACACTCGGCTTGAACGTGTGATTCTCCTGTCACAGCTTTCCAGAAAATGATGGAATTACTTGCATCACCAGGCACCACCAGGCCTGGTTTAAGTAGAACTTTTTTTTAAAGAGAAAAAAAGATGTTTCATAAAATGGGAACTCCTTACCTCATGGGGCTGTGGTGAGCATTATAATTCTTATTAAACTCTGAAGATGCATGTAATGTACTATAAACATCCATTGACTTTTTGTTATTAGCAGAAAATAATAAATCAGTGTAAATCACTGAGTTAAACACAAATGAACTTGTCTTTTAAATTATAGAATTTCTTGTGGACCTAACAATAGCCTTTTGAGTAACAAACCTTCGATTGGGTATAAAGAATACAATGCTTCCCCAAATTGGATGGTCATAAAATGATTTGCTCATGAAGCATCATAGAGGACCAGTGTTCCATGAATAATAGTCCTTAAGGTGAATATTGCTAACTTATTTGTCATAAATTTGGGCTCTGTAAATATAGCTTCCTAATACTATTCAGTAAGTTTTATTCTATTTTTCTATGTACACAGTTTATCTACTAAAATGGGACAATAGCAGATTTAATACAGGGCAAGATATATTTTGAAGTACCAGGAACACTATTCAGAAATTTTTAAAGAATGTAAGCTGTATGTGGGAAAGGACTTGATACCTTGTAACTATTATATTATTCTTAACAGCTAGGGTATAAACTATTCCACCTATAAGACTTAAAATTGATTTATAAAACTTTCCCATAAGATGTTTACAATATAGGAAGAGAGGGTTAGAAAACTGTTTTAATATAGTATGAGATGATCTGATTTATATTTTTAAATAAAATAGTCAAGAATCTCAACTTCATTCTGCAAACTTTTTACCTTAGTTCTGAGAGTTCTGGAAATGCATCAGGGACATCTGGCATCTTGTAACCAAAACCATTTTGGCTTATCTAAAGAAGAGTTTTACAAAGTATTAAGTTTAGCCATCTTTTTGATTCCTCCTATTTACTTATAAAAGTAATTTAAATGTACTATATTCTCAAACTGTTTTCATTATTACAATTTCATCTTTTATTTCCCTTTTGTCCTTATGCTCCTCTTTGTTCTATTGGCTTTTTTTTTCTCCCCCTTTTCAATGTAATTGTACATGTAAGGTTACATTTTTTAAAACCTTCTTTACAGGGCCTTAAAAAAAGCCTGTATCAGCTCTTTTTTGGTCAAGTGTATAGGTATAAAATAAATCTCAAGTGCATCTGTGACAAATGTGAAGAATTATCTATGATAATTAGACATAGACAAATATATTTTTCTTAAGCGAAATACATCAAATATAAAGAAATCTTAATAAGCTTCTAGTAGTGTGAATTATATATCTAAGTAAGACAAAACAGTAGGACAGAGAAACTTACTATCCACTATTTCAATATATATACAAACACATGATTGTTTTACTCTTAAATACTGTATAAAGGTTGTCTTGTAATTTGGTTTATACTAGTTTTTCTAGTTTGTACATAATCTTCATTAACATAATGATGAAAAGTTCCAAAAAGTCCTCTTCAGTATATGCTAAATGATTATAAACTCTGAAATTAGTAATGTTGCATATAATAAAGCTTTACAATGCTTATATATTATGTGAATGATATTCACCATGGTTTAAAGTTGAAAGTTTTAAAAAATACTGGATGTATAAAGTATTAGTATCTCCCTTTGCAACACCTGTCATTTCTTTCTTTCTTTTTTTTTGTATTTTAGTAAGGATCCACAGGGGCCTAAACAGGTGCTTTAATCCGCTGAGCTATTTGGCTGGCCCTACAACTCTCATTTCAAGTTAGCATTCAGAATACATAACTTTCAAATCAATGAGATGCTTAAAGGCCTTAATACGCTATGTTTGCCCTCTTCAATTTGGCACTTATCTCTCCTACATGATTATGCCTTGTGCCTTTGTCTACATACTGTATGACAGCCAAAGAAATTATAAGTGATTTTATAACAATATCATCTGGTTTACACTGCAGTACCTTTGTGGATGCTACGGCCTCTGACAGAATGTCTTATATAACTTATTATTCTTGCAAATTCTTTACCATCTTTTAGAATCTGGCCTCCAAAGTGGGGTGTGGTGGTATATGCCTGTTACCATAGCTGCTTGAGAGGATGGTCAAAAGTTTGAAACAAGCCTGGGCTGCAAAGCAAGACATCCTCCCCCATTATTGTCCCAAACATTTGGCTCGCTTTTATTAAGCATCTACTACTGTATCACATGTAAGGCAGTAGAGATGAAAAAGTGGTTAAAAAAAAAATCAGAATTACATTTTTGTAAAAGTATCCCTACTATTTCTATCTTGGTCTTTGAGAAGAGTGACCAATCCCTCAACTAGGTCTCTCGTATAACTCTACTCTGTCTCATCTCTTCAAGGAATCCATTACTTATATTTAGCTGTTGACCACCTCACTGAGTTTGTTGTGCAAGTTGAAAAATGTGATTTAATATTTCTACATTTTGTGCTTAGTTTAGTAACTGGTACATAATAATAAATGTTTTCTGACTGAATGTGTATTTTATAGGTAAAAACCATAAGGTTACTGAAGATACCAACCAGTGCTGCAGCGTCTGTTATGGGGACGGGCAAAGGCAGACTTGACAGGACGCTAAATGAAGGAGCAGCAGGCTTGGCTGTGGTATAATTTGTTGTTGAAGAAGAAACAGTGTCAGCAACAGATAAAGAAGTGATAGTCCTGTTAGCTTCTTGTGGTGGATATGAAGGGAGAAATGGAAAGCGCTGAGATGTATAAGGAGGCATTCCCCCTGAGTTACTGTATAAGCTAAGGAGAAAAAGAGAAAACGTTAGGCGTAAAATAGGTAAAATCCCTGAGTTATTCTAGCAACAATGATATAAACATGTTTCTCGCAGGTGATGCTTGTTATAATTATGACTGATTAGACACTACATAAAATAATAAAATACAACCCTTCCCAAAAAAGAACTGTCATTCCTTGAAAAGGATAAATGCTCAAGAAAGCATAAAATCCAACTAGCCAGAATTAAAGGGAACAGAGAGACCATGTTTGAATTTTCAGCATTCCATGACATCAATCAGTTTCTTCACAGACGGATAAAGAAACAACACTGAATTCAGAAAATGTATTCAAGTGGATGCTGCTTAGCTTTCACTATATTTGGAAAAAATCTAAGACTGCTTTCTAGAAAATATTAAAGAAAGATTAAATATACAGATGAGCTATTGAACATATTAAAAATAAAAAACAAATTCATATGTAAATATTCATATATATTAAAAAAGAGTGACACAGATATATACTTTCATAGTGATCCTCCTGTCTCAGCCTCCCCAGCACTGGGATTACAGGCATATGCCACCACACCCAGTTTTGGGGTTGGCACAGTGCACCCATGGTTCTGGGGTCAGCAAGGCATGTGGTACTGGGGATCAAACCCAGGCCCTTGCACTCACCAGGCAGGTGCTTAGACCGCTGAGCTATCTCTCCAGCCCCAAGTCACTGTTGTAAAAGACTTCAGGTTATGCATTAAACATATAGTCATCCCTAGCTACTTCGCAGATTGATTTTCATGGACTCACTGTTTCGCAGGTTGTCAAAGAATATTAATTTAAATTAATTTATCATGGATTTCTCATATCGCAAGATTTTTGCGGTAGTGTACAGTACTCTATACATATGCTGTTAAAATTACATAGGTTTACAAGTTTAGAAAATGGTTAAGAATATTAGAAGTGTTCTGAAAGTGTGGAAAAGATTTATAAGAGTGGGGGAAGGGTTTATAAAGCCTTAAAATAAATATAACATCACTACTTTACTGATTTTCACTTATCGTGGGTGTGTCTGGAATGCAACCTTTGCAATACGTAAGGGACCACTGTACTATTAGTCACGAAAATATTTCACTTTGTATTGAAATATGTTCCAAAATTGATAAAACTAAAACAATTTTTTGTGGGAGTACTATTATTTCTTTTTATCATATAAGTTAACCAGAATTGTAAGTTTTGTAGGTAAAAAAAATTTATTATAGATCTTTGAAGGCAACAATAGAAGGTAAATATAAGCAAAATAAGGCACAAATCTGAAAAAGGCAAGGACAGAGATATACTGTCATGCAGCAAACTAAATTACAAAATCATAATAATTTAAAAAAAGCAAAGTACGGGTGAATGAATAAGCAGATGGATGGAAATAAAAACAATTTTAAAAAGCCTAAACACATGGAAATTAAGATATAATAGAGACAGACACTCCTACACATGAATAATAGTCAATAAATACTTTTGAGATATTTGGACAAATTACAAGTCAGATCTTCATGTTCACAATAGGATAAAAACCAAATGGATCAAGGATTTAATTTTTTTGAAAACTCAAATGATCCACCAGAAATAAATGGGAAATTTCAACTTTACAGTGGGAAAGAACTTTGTGATCTCAATTCAGAAGGTAAAAGAGAAAATAACAAATTCCATAACATAAAAGAAACTTTGTATGATAAGCTCCTTATAAAAATTAATGAAGCTGGGAGTTTAGCTCAGTAATAGGGTGCTTATCTAGTTTGCTGTAGACCTAAGGTTCAATCTCCAGCACTATAAAAAAACAAGACAAATGTGAAAATATTTGAAATTAGTATCATCACACATAAAAGGATAATTTTTCAAATGTATAATGAATTCCTTAAATTGATAAAGAACTTTCAAACCAATAACAAGGTAAACAATAGAAGGCTATATACATGTTATAAAAAAGAAAGAATATTTCTAAAGCTTAGGAAAATATGCTGAGCTTCATTATTAAGATAAATATAAATAAAATTATGCTAGCATACAATTTTTTGCCTATAAATAGGCAAAAGTCCATTTTGGCAATACACTATGCTAAAAAAAAAAAGAGTATGGTGAAATAGGCATTATTTTTAGGAGAGAAATTGGTACAATTACAAATTGTAATGGCAATTTTGCTGTGTTTATCACAGCTGCAAATCTGCAGGCTACTTCTAGACTCTACTCAGCAGATAAGCAAATATTTGGAAAAATATTTACTGTAGTGCTGAGGACACTGAAAAGAATCTTTTGGGAAAGATTAGATAAACATGATCAAAGAAGCTTTACTGGTAATAAATTATAGTACATCCATAAAACAAACGTTTTGCTGTATTATAAACAATTTAAGTAAATTTCTCTGGAACATTAAGATCTTAATATTTAAAATGTGGACTGTTAAGATTTAAGAAAGTAAAACCAATAAAAAAATTAAGTATCTATTTGATCCAGAAAAAAAATAAAATGGTAACATCCTTGGGTCAACAATGAATATTTACACAGGAATAAGAATATTAAGTATGGACTTAATGTAAAAATGATATAACCTCAGTGGGCCAATAAAGAGAGAAGTTTTATGAAAGAAAGCTATAACTCTTATCTATCATAATAGGAGATAAACAGATACTATCTAAAATCAAGGGGTAGCAGCATAAACACACTATTTAGAAAGATGAAGGTAAATATTAGAAGAAATAGTTAAAAGAGGAAAACACAGTACCCACTGAAGAGTGTGGACATATTTATATGAATTTAGGGATGTAGAAATCACAGAGCTATCTTTTAACATCATTTGAATTTTTTATACAATATATGTATTTTTAAATTTTATTTTTTATTTACATATATATTATTTTGTTCCAGGAATTGAACTCAGGACCTTGCACTTGCTAGGCAGGCATTTGTACCACTGAATTATATCCCCAGTGCTTTATTTTTTTTCAGACAGGTTCTCACACTGTAGTTCAGTCTGGCCTTGAACTATGTAGCCTAGACTGGCCTCAAACTTGTGGCAACCTTCCTACCTCAGTCTTCTGAGTGCTGGGATTACAGATGTGTATCACAATGCTCAGCATATCCTATATCTTGATTTACATGCTAAATGAAAGTATATGCAAATTTTTTATTCACCATACATACACTTACTATGGAAATGCTGTTGAAGTAGGAGCTAGAACTGGAGGATTCTTCCAGAATTCATCCAAAAGACTCTGAATAATTTTCCCAAGATCTGAATGCATTGTAAACTGAAAGTAACAGTAATACATGATGATTAGTACCACTTTTAAAAAATATAAATACTAGAGGAGCTGTGGGGATAAAGAAACCCTTTTCCACTGTTGGTGGGAATATAGACTTGTACAATCACTATGGAAATCAGTGTAGAAATTTCTCAGAAAGCTAGGATTGGAGGTCCCATTCAACCCAGTTATTTCCCTCCTGGGAATCTCTCCAAGTGGACTGAAAACACTGTACCGTAGTGATATATGTGCACACATGTTTACAGCAGCACAATTTGTCATAGCTAAATCTTGCAAACAATCCAAATGCCCCAAAACCAATGAATGGACAAAAAAGATGTGGTAATTTTACACAATAGAGCATTTACTCAATTATAAAAAAAGAGCTAAGCTCGAGGCTTTTATAGGTAAATGGATACAACTAGAGACCATACTCATAAGTGAAATAAATCAGACCAGCATGTGCAAGAAACCGAAAGAGTGAATAATATCTGAAAGGTACAATAGATACTGTGAAAGAGAAAGTATTCAAGGGCAAGGAAAAACTGGGATGAGGAAAAAGATGGTGGGGGTTAAGAGATATATTTATGTATGTATGCAGGATGGCTTATATAAGTGCACTGCTGACTTTTGCTGGTCTACAGGGGAGAGCAATTGAGGCTTGAATTTTTTTTCTTGTCCTTTTTGTTATAACGTTTTTCTTTCTTTTTTTCTTTTACCAATTTTGTATGCTTATGTCTGGCAATCTGGACAACTAATTTGAAGACATTATACAATACAGCAATTATTATTGAATTCATATTGTTTTGTTTGGTGATATTCTGTAATATTTTGGTTTTTTTACTATTTTGTATTCTCTTTAGATTACAAAAATATTATTAAAGTCTCATTGGTGAGAGTCATTCTAAATCTTAACCTACTTTAAAGGCCAAGAATTAACATAAAATTAAAGATATTGTGTTAACATAACAGTGATATACAATTTACATTTCTTGAGGTTTGATACTATAAATATTTGCAATTAGCAAAACAGGTTTGAAGTTCATGCAATCAATAATTAGGTAAATGGGCCAGTGAGATAGCTCAGCAGTCTAACACACCTGCTTAGGCAAGCTTAGGCAGGCGCAGGGGACCATGGTTTGATCCCCAGCACTACAATACCAAGCCAGCCCCACTGTCAGGGCGGGCTGAGCCAGCACCCCCCTCCCAAATTAATGTAGGCAAAATATTTCCACATTTCACTGCTTACAAATTGAGAGTTCAAAGGTAGATAATGAGAGTATATTTAAGTTACAGTCCCTCATGTTAACCAATCATATCATATCCAAGAACTTCAAAGCATAGTGTTAAGTAAACACAGCATTTTCTATTATATAACATAAAATTATTGGAAACTTTTTGGAAAATTATTATAAAATGAAATTCCAACTTATCACATTTCTAAAACATTCAATAGAAAAGTAATATACTTCTTTACTAAATATATATAAATTATTCATAAATTATAAATTTTACATACATTGCTAGTAAAAATTACAAAATTAGCATAATTATAAGTAAATTATAGCATACATACATTGCTTACTAATGGAGAGGTAACATATACTCCTTGTTTATCCACTAAGTGATGTCGTATTGGTGGATAAACACTGATCACTGGTTTTTCCTGAGGAAACTGTGGAGGAAGTAATCTGGTAAAGATGAAAAACAAAATCAGAAAATGTTACATCATATAGTCAAAATACTAAAAACACCCAAAAATCAAAAAACAAAAAAAAGTTAAAAGGAAATTAAATTTTAACTTTCATTTTTTAATTTTTTTTTTTTTAATTTATTTTTTGGTACTGGGATCGAACTTGGGACCTTGCACTTGCCAGGCAGGTGCTTATGCTGCTGAGTTGTACCCATGCCCCTAAATTTTAACATTTTTAATGGATTATTTAGTAATAAGTGCTCTATTATGATTGTTGACTGAAAATGCACAGACTTCTTTATGTGGACACCTTCAACTACAGAGGAGTTTTCTGACTATTCCAATTAATTGTTTTCAAATACAATATACAAGCTTATACAAAAATCTCAGCTACAAATTAGACCAAGTATTTGTTTTAGGTTATTCATACATACACAGTCTGGCTATTTATTAGGTCACAGGTTCTAGCCATATAGTTTTCTTGTGTTTTATTAAAAACAAAACTTTTTTTTTTTGCAGTACCAGGGATTGAATTCAGGACCCTGCACTTGCCAGACAAGTACTTATTCTATTGAGCTATCTCCCTGGCCCAAAAAACCTTTCGTGATGCTGCCAATAATTACTTCACAATCTGTTTCTAAAGATTAAATAGATAGTTGGAAAGTACTGGGATTCAAATATGGTATCTGTCATCATGTCTTGGTTCTACCTGACCCTTTGCTAATTGTCATAATTAACACTACTTTCTCAACTTAGAGGTCAACCACAGGTTTCAAGTAAAGTACAGTAAGTTCTCAATACAATAAGTAAAAAAAATCTTTTTTTAAAAATATTACAAAATTAAGATTAGCAGATCAAGTCTTTAAAAATGAATTTATTGAATATAGAATAGTGCTTTTCAAATCTCTTAAACTTGGCATATTTCTCTTTAAATTTCCTCTGTTTCCCTGTGGGCTCAAAAAACTTTCTGCTGGCAGTACTGTCAAGGAAAAAAACAAGTCACTTGTGGTGACCCATGCATATAATTCCAAAAGTAGGGAAACAGAGACAGGAAGATTGTCACAAGTTCAAGACCAGCCTGAACTACATATACAGACACTTGTTAAAAAAAAAAATGAAGAGAGGAGGACAAGAAGGGGAAAGAAGAGGAAGAGGAAGAGGAAGGGGAGAAGGAAAAGATGATAACCAAAGCCAAAGATTTTTCAACTAGTTTGGTAAAATAGGCAATAAATGGCTTCTGAAGTCAACCAAACTGAGTTTGTATTATGTTATTTAGTAACCATGCATCTATAATCGTTCTAATTTGCAGGGCTGTTCTGAAGACTCAAAAAGATCATATAAGTCAAGTTAACATAGCTTTAATGTTTGGCAGAGTTATATATCCATGTTTCAATGCATTCACGAATGTAGTATGAACAAGGCCTCCTATGTATAGGTACTGTGTTGGACAGTTAGGTGATTCAAATAAACACAGCATGGTTTATTCTTCAAGTTGAGCCTTTTAAAAATTTTTATTTCATTAAATGATATATTATTTTATGAATTATAGTTACTTGAAATAAGTTTACTTCAAGTATCTTCTAACAAAAACTAAGAAGAAAAACAAAACATTTTAAATTCTATTACATGAAAAGTAGGATACAATTCTACTCACATATTAATGTTAATTGTCAGGTTGTTCACGGTGAATGGCAATCTATATTCCACATCTTTTTGTATTTCAGCTATACTGTAAGAGAATATTTAAAAATGTTGTAAAACTATTAGCATCAAAAACAAATGTTATAAGATGAAAGAGGAGAAAATGGAAGAAAGGAAGTAAAAAGAATTAAGATTCTGTATATACATATATCAACTCCCCAAAATGAACAAAATCATCATGTACTTTAAATATGTACCATAAAAATTTTCAAAAGAAATGAAAATAAAAGATGCTGAGGGAAACAGGCAAAGAAAAATCTCTTGTATTGTTATTAGCAATAGTTTAATTTATTATTTGTTTGTTTTTGAGACAGGGTCTCGCTATGCAGTTCAATCTGGTCTTGAGCTCACTCTGTAGCCCAGGCTGGTCTTGAACTTGCAATGATCCTCCTGCCTCAGCCTCCTCAGTGCTAGGGATTATAGGTGTGTGCCACCATGCCTGGCTTAATTTACTACCCTTAAAATGATGTCTCCAGTTTCATCCTCTTTTCCTACCAATGTCATGAATTCATTTTCACTAAGGCAGCATAAGACTCCATTATATACAAGTACCATATTTTCTTTGTTCAGTCAGTCATTGAAAGACTTAGACTGATTTCACAACTTGCCTATTGTAAGTAATATGGGTATTGTATACCAACTTTCATTACTTTGGAGACACAAGAAACAATATAACTAGATCATGTGGTAGTTCTATTTTTAGTTGTTTTAGGAATCTCCATACTGGCTATATTAATTTATATTCTTACCAACTGTATGAAAGTTCCTTTTTCTTTCATCCTTACTACCATTAGTTTTTGTATTCTAGACTACGAAGACATGTATGACATGGATATGCAGAGATAAGGGATTTTTGGAGCTAGATGCCCCACAATTCCCAGAGTACATGTTTAAAGATTAAAATATAGCTTATAGGGCCAGGAGTCCAAGTTGGATCAAAACATACTGCCTTAGGGAATAAATGGTCAGGCCTTCTTTCCATACTCCAATTAATCACTTAGATTGGCCCTAAGGCTAATCATGTAGCAGACTACCCTAACCTTCCTGGACCATCTTTTTTCTTTCTTTGCCTCTTGACTACTGTAAGAAGAGTGGTGGAAGCCATGCAACCCTATCACAATGCATCCTCACTATAGGCTAAAAGTAACAGAGCCCAGTGACCACAGACTGAAACCTCTGAACCTGTGAGTCAGAATAAAACTTTTTTCCTTCTAAGTTATTTATCTCAGGTATTTTGTCACAGTGATTAAAAGCTGATTAACACACTATTATTTTTAAGGTCAACAGAGGAAAATCTAGTTGGCATTTATGGAGTACCTACTGTGTGTCAGATAATATTCTGGAATATTCTAAATTCTTCACATGTTGTGCTTTACTAAGGTACTAGGTACATTTCATTGGTACATTAACTCTTTGGAATGGACTTGTTTTCTAAATGGAAAGTTAAAAGTAGGACTACCAGAGACAAACGGGCTGCAAATAAGCTTGTGAGAAATTCATAAAACATTAGTAGGCTAAAAGCATGTAGAATAAGAGGCAAAAGTTTTTATCATACTGATTGTATTGAAGGGGAAAATTAATGTAATTTGTCATAAGCCTCATATGGACTAATTACACTTCTAACCTTTTAGTTATTATCTAAATATAAAAATCCTATGAGGGCTGAGAATGTAGCTCAATGATATATAACTTTCCCAGCATTTCTTAGGTTCAATCCCCAGCACTGCCAACAAATAAAACAAAAATCCTGCATGACAAGAAACACAATTTGTAGCTTTACAGATGGAAACTGAAGAATCAGAGTAATTGAGTACTTAATAAAGAGCTCATATGGCTAGCACATGTTAACACCAGAATTGGACGTTAGGAAGATTTACTATAAAGCTTTTATTCTTCTATGTCATAATGATCTTTCTGGCTTCCATTCAGGATATTCAGCTACTTCTGTTTTCTGTCCTTAAGACTATAATTATATTGAGGTACCTAGGAAATGCAGACTTGCACAGAGCAATAAGAGATCAAGCCACTCTCATTTTGGTGGTCACATGGTCAATAAATGCTATGTGATAACCCAAGATTGCTTTGATAGTTGATGTCACATGTATACCCCTCCTGACTCCTTACTCTGGCCTACAATCATTGTGACCCTATTACTTGTATCAGAATGGAAGATTACAAAAAAAAAAATCTGATAAATATCTTCACTCTCAAATTAGATATTCTTGTTGAAAATAAAAGCAAAATAGCACCAGAATTATGATGTAACTCATTATTAAAATGCATGTAGAAGTTCTTTACCTGGAAGACTCAAGTAAAAATACAGTATATTTGTATAATTTTGAATATAAATTATTGTAAGTAATAATTATTACAACAGAGCTACAGGGTGTTGTTTTAGAGACAAAAAATTAATAAAGAAGCTAATTAACTGTAGATATTGTGAAAGAAGAGAGACCTAGGTAGTTAGAATAATCACTATTAACACCATCAATTTTTAATATTTTCTGGATATGGGTGTAATACAGAGCAATACTAATTAACAGCTCCACCTCTGAAGAATCTAAATATTGGATTTGGTGAGCATAATCCCCTTGGCTATTTTCAACTGGAAGTAACTGAAAGCCATGGTAAAAATGGCTATAACAGTGAGGAGACATTTATCTTAAACAATAAGGAGTACAGAAGAAAGGCGATTTCAGAGTTAGTTAATTTAGCACCAAACACTATCTTTTTATTCTACTCAATTCAATAGTCAGCTTTTACTCAAAATCCAAACAGTTGCAAAAGTCTCATAATAAATTCAAAACATTAAAGGTATTTCTCTCTCCCATCCCCCCCCATCAACAGACTTCCCTCCAACTCTCACTGAACAAAATTAAGTCAAGTCCAAATTGCACAACAAGGCATAAAAGGTTGGGACCACCATCACTAGTGTAAACAATCACTATTTACTTCTTTCTCTTTGGGTTGAAAGAGCCCAACCTCAGCTATCTCTGTAGTCCCACAAAAAAAAAAAAAAAAAAGGTAAATGGAATAAAAATCGGTGTTTTTTCAAGAAAGTAAAGGAAATGGATTTGGGTAGGAAACCAAGTTTCTCATAAAGTATCAGGAGGTTGAAGAGATAGCAGAATTAGTTATCTTCCTGAAAATAGGTCAGACACTGTAATGCTAAACTGAATAATGTAATAATTGCCCAGAAGATAATACTTGAGTACAGTTTACATAGCTTTCAGTTTCCATTTTCATGGTATGTTTTAAAAACAGAGTATCATGCTTTGGTCACCTTTTTTGGATCATCTCTAATAATTTAATACTTGCCCTGCACACTACAGTACTGAGCCTAGTTGTTTTTTTTTTTTTTTTTTTTTCATATTTAGGATCGGGTCTACAGGGTCTTACTACATAGCCCTGACTTGTAGTGATTCACTTGGTTTTAGCCTTCCAAGAGCTCAGATTACAAGCACGCACCACCACACTCAGTCTCAATCACTGTCTCAGCGTGCCCCTGGTGAAGCCCGGCTGCTGTGCTCTGGCTCTGCCTAAGCAGGTGTTTTAGTCTGCTGAGCTATCTGGCCAGCCCTCTAGTTTTTTAAAAAATCCACAAAATTAACCTAATCTGTTAATGACACCTGAGGGAAGTGAGAAAATAGCCATTTATTAAGGCAACTAAAAATGAATTAATATCCACTAGAGAAAGAGATTTAAGTAAACTATTGAAATGGACTTTTTAGAGTTATAAGGAGCTAGAAAAAAAAAAAGAGTGGGAAGGAAAATGAAAGGATAGATTGGGGAAGTTTACTCAGTAAAGCAGAAGAAAAATCTTTGGATACTTTTAGTCAGGAGTGCTACTGACTTTACTTTTGAAAGAAAAAAAAAAGAATATGAAGTATGAGAGGATGACAGCATAGAAGAAAATCAGTGATATTTTGTTATTGCTGTTGTTTGCTTTTTTTGAGAAAGGTCTTCATGTGCAGTTCAGGCTGGTCTTGAATTCACAGTGATCCTCCTGCCTCAATGTCCCAAGTGCTGAGATTACAGATGTGTGCCACTATACTCTACTGATGTTTATAATTCAGCGAGATTTTGTACGATTCATAAAAATTGAAACAATCTTTTAACTTTTACACAGTACACTTCATAATAGCCAATCTTGGTATGTTTGTATAAAAATCTTTGATGGTGGACAACTATTTTGGCCAATATAACTATCTTAAAAATATGTCATTAAAAATAAAAGGGTACATTTAAAAAGAGTATGGTAGATGGCAATTTTTTTTTCTGGGATTATAAAATTTTTTCAAAACTGGAACGATATAATCTACTTAAATGTCTCCAGAATTACCTAAGCATAATTTGTAAATGTGAAATATTTTAATGAATAAAACTTTTGTAAAAGAATTTACAGAATAAAATGTTTAAAATTGTATGTTTATCACCCTACTATGTAGCTAATATCCCAAATTCAAAGTTCAGGTCCAAAAAATAACATAAATGTATCCTTTCTTCATTCAATTCAAGTCTTACTATCCTCTTTCAACTATAAGAACTCCTTTGATGACCAGTTACTGCTTTACAATCTCATTTTATTTGGGAGACCAAAAACAAAGTTTAGATCAATCACTTTCCTTATCTCCCAGCTATTAGAATATTTCAAAAATTCAATTCTAACCTGAAGGAATAAAAATTTTCCAGCACTAGTAACATTTATCAGAATATACTGCTTAAAGGTAATTCATTCCAAAGGTGTGCTTCTAAAAAGTATTTCTTCAATAGCAGGACTAGTACAGTATACAGATTTCCAAGATGACAACTTCTAAGGGTACAAGCTTGTTTGTTGCGTCACCTTATTTTATAATCATATTTTGTAAGAGCTTCTCTTTGTTAGCACAGAACATGATTTAGAATAAGGCTGATCTATGTTGGAACTCAGAAAATAGTAACCTAAAGGTTGGCACTTCAGCATATTAAATACTCTGAACTATTGAGAGTAGGTCTCAGAAGCAAAGTCTCTCTTTTTCCTGCTTCATATCCCTCCTCTTTCTTTTTCAAAGCAGTCATAAAAACCAAATTTCCTCTTTTGCAAGGTAGGTCAAAGAAACCAGAACTTTTGTGTACCACAAGGCAAGTCACAATACCCTGAGAAGTCTCTCTCTCTTTTTTTTTTTTTTTTTTTTGTCTCCCTAGAAGATCCTCATTCCAAAAGGGTTCTACATGGTACTCATGCCTGAAAAAAAGGAATGCTACCATGGTCACGTAGGATCTGGACAGGTGTTGCAGTGTCTCTTCACTTCCATTTACTACCATGATATCATATCAATTTGCCAATCATATTTCTACAGTGTCCATTCCTCCTATGACCTAAGCATAAAAATAGTTTTCCTCTGCTTTTGGATTTTCATTTCTGAAGGCTCCCATGCCAAATAAAATTTTGGCAAAATGAATTTGTTGTACTTTTCAGTTGTAAACTGTCTTTTGTTACAGAAACAATACATCAGCTATGATCCTTAGGACAGGTGAGGAAAGGTTTTTATTCATAAGAATTTTATGAACTTAATCTTTCAAATAAAGTCTCCAATAAGACCTTGCCACTCTTTTCTGTTAAAAAAAATCCAAATTTTCCATTTTTGAAAGTTCTGAACAAGAATAATTAAGACAAAGAATCAAGAAACACCTAAAGTTCAATCAGCAAAAGGCCTTATTTTAGCCAAATTGTGTAGGAGATTTTTCTCATAACACATTTAAAACTATTCTAGATTATCACTTACTTGCTTGGGGGGAAAAATTACTGAGGTATAACAGATAAAATAGCCCCTAATAGTCTGTTTAATAAGAATTGCTCAATTTTCTTGAGACATATTTTTAAATGTATGAGAGTTTTCTAAGGGCTCGATTTTAACCATGTGGACATCTCTACATAAAACACAGACTCTACAACTATTAAATGTAACTGTAAAACTCATATAGCATAATTTAGATTTTTTTTTTTTTTTTTGGTCATTTTTAGACAGGGTCTCACTATGCAGTTCAGGTTGGCCTTGAACTCACTTTATAGCCTGGAACTTGAAGTGATTCTCTAGCCTTAGCCTTCAAAGTAGGGAGATTATAGGAGTGAGCCCCCACGTCCAGCCAAAGCAGTCTTATTTTTGAAAACCACTGGAGGCCACAGACATTTGCAATATAAAGGGATAGAGTAAACCAGGTAAGAGTTAAAATAACTTAAACAGTAAAATATTTCTTATCTGCCCACAATGAAACCCTCCTAAAACAGAACAATCCAGATGAACATATAGCAATTCCTGAGAATATGGTCAAGAGTATTAAGAAAATGAGGAATGTATAGACAGTTGCAGTTGTGAGATGGGGAGAGGTTATTGGACCAAAACAAGTTTTTAGAGACCCGAGAGGATTGACTGTCACTTGAAGAATTCACCGATGAAAAACTTGGGCTTCCCTTTCTTTGGATGTTGCAACAGTTTTGTCTGCCACTTTGTGAAACTTGGGAAGATTACTCTTTGCAATTCTCTTGAGCCAAGTATATATAATATTCTAACAATTCAGCCAGTACTGCCGTCAGGTGTGCAAAGAGATTAATGAGAAGGCCAGCAGTATCAGGGGATGTTGCTACAACAGACTAGGAGATTACTGTCAGGGTCGATGTGTCAGGAAGGCTGAAGCGCTAAGCAGTGGTGGGCCGGAGGCACGGGGGCTCCAGGGGGAAAGAGTAACCTGGGGTAGGAATGGGAGAGGCGGAGCGTCACCCACAGCGAAGTGAGGTCGACCGAGAGGAGACAGCCCAGGGCACTGGGCCTGAGGCGCCCAGAGGGTGGTTAGCAGCAGCCCGCCCTCCGCCCTACTTTTCCCACGTCGGAAAACGCAGCGACCGTCACCTGGAGTGGGAGTTCCTGAGGGACTCGATCAAGCGCTGCTTCTGCTGTTGGAGGCTGGTGAGACCACCGGGAGACCCAGCTGCGGAGGAGGCGGCGCTCTTGGTCAGGGGAAAGAGCCAGCTCATTCTCCTGGGGTCCCCGGGCCCCAGGCCCTAGAAGCCTCTGGCCTGCTTCTCCCAGCTGCTCAGCCCACAGTTCTTCAGAGGCAGAGACGCCCGGGGCCCAAGCGCTCAGGGACTGCGTCTTCACTACGAAAGTAAGGTTCGCGGCACCGGCTTCTGGGGGACACTCTACTAGTGCAAACAGCTGGAGAGGGCAACTTGCCTTCCGGGACAAGCAGCCCCACCTTCGCGGCTCAGACGACTAAACCAGCCAGTCAGGCAGCCTGCAGGCCCAGCGTTCCACTACCCGAGCCGCCTCCACCCGCGTGCCCCGCCCCCTCACACACGCCCCGCCCCTCTGCGCGTTTCGTCATCACCTGGCGTCCCCGCCTGGACGTACGAGAGGCGACGACGCAGTACGGTGCGGCGCTGCTCCGGCTCCCCTTGCTGGGCGAGAGGTGTCTATGGGGCACCCGCTGCCGCCACCGATACCGCCACCGCCACCGCCACCGCCGCCTCGTGTTGTCTCTATGGCGAGGAGGAGGAGGAGGATCGCGAGCTCAGAGACACAAGTACGTCTTGAGTTTGCCACAGATTTGAGGGGGGACAAAGGCTGACTGGATAAGTAAAAAGAGGGCGGGAAGGGTGAGCCCAAAGGTTGTGCGATAGGGCCTACTGGAGGGCTACTAGTGGAAGAAGGATCTTGGCGGCGGGTGAGGGGGGAAGGGTAACTGGGGTTGGGGTATGTCAAGAGGTTGACGCGTGATGATGACGTAAGGGCTTTGTACCTGGGCTTCGTTGTGGGACGGAAATTGAGAGTGGAGGGCGGTGGCCTAGATCCTCATCTCTTGTTCTCACTGGGAGTCAATCTGGGTCCCGTAAATGTATCACCGCCTTCGTACTGGCTCTTTGCCTGGGAACAGTCTTTGACATGAATGCCTCAGTGCTGTCCTTTTGTTGCTTTGGGAGCCCTCGGAGATCCTACTTCCAGTAATGAGACCTTTGGTGCCTTTTCAAGGCTTCTGGAACAGCCATAGAGAGGTGGTGGAAAACAGTGTTCACCTACAGTGTCTTTTCTGTGTGTGTGTGTGTGTGTGTGTGTGAGAGAGAGAGAGAGAGAGAGACTGACTTAGCACTCGAGGTTACTTTTGTGACTCTTCAGAGTTTATGAAGATAGAAAAATTCTTTAGTTGTGGGGTTTGCCCCCATTTTTTTGTGAAAAATAAGCATTTTTAAATTCCCTAAGACTAATATGTTGGCCTGTATTTTTTTTTTTTTTTTTTTGTACTGGGAATCGAACTCAGTACCTGGCGTTTGCCAAGCAAGGTGCAGTGCCACTAAATGGTGCACCCCGCCCCGTCTTATATTATCATATATCATGAACTTGGAGTGTATGGACCAGAAGAATGAGATCTATGTTTGGTTTTCAGTGTGAAAAGGGCACTAATTTTTAGAAAATTAGAAAAGCGTAAATGCAGCATTTTTGTTAACCTACTTTTCCCACCCTTAATAACGTTCAAATAATTTCTGTGGCTGGCAGTTTTTTCTTACAGTGTTTAAAACAAAATATTTTATGGCATAGTGGCACATGCCTGTAATCTCAGCATTCAGGAAGATGAGGTAGGATCGCCAGGCATATATAGCGAGTTCCAGGTCAGCCTGAGTTACATACAAGAGCATGTCTTTTTCGACATCATCATAATATAAAACTGAAAATGTCTGGAAACAGCTTTTTTTTTTTTCTTTTTGTGTAGAGGGTGAGTTGAACTAAGCAATTTTTAATGTAATGGAAAGTTTAAATTCATAATTTGTATGTATGCATTAAAACACTGAAATCATAATTGGGAATTGGTGCTGCTGTCCTTTTTTTTCTACAAAAGTGTGACTTTTAGAGAAATTGTTTCTTAAACTTTGATTTTGTTATGAATCGGAATTTGAATAACTTTATAGGTTTTACAGGTTAATTGTATGTTTCAGATTTATCATGAACCTGATTTTTATTTTTAACAGGTACATAAATAAAGGATAAAGTATTTTATGAAACAAGTCTTCAATCAAGTATAACATTTTGATGCTTGGCATCTAGACATCTTTGTGCTCTCACTATGCCAGCAGCAACTGTAGATCATAGCCAAAGAATTTGTGAAGTTTGGGCTTGTAACCTGGACGAAGAGATGAAGAAAATTCGTCAAGTTATCCGAAAATACAATTATGTTGCTATGGTATGCTCAAGCATTTAAGTTTTTAAAATACTTCTTATAAAGGGGAGGAAGAAGGATTCTGATAGTTTTCATTTTGGTTTCAGAAATTAATCATGAAAAAGTTGTTGATACCCTCCACCCAGCCATTACAATAAACCTATAATATGAAAAGTTGATTTTATTATTCATTGCAGTTAGAAAAAGCAGTGGGAACAACGGAGCATTTGGTAGTGTGTTATAAAGTACTTTAGGGTCAGGACTTGTGTAAGTAGGGAAAGACTTGAAGGAGCAGGTTTTTGCTATGGATTGGATGCTGTCATCAAGCTGGATAATCATATGATTGGGTGTTTTAATGTTTACTTGGAATAAGACTAAAGCAAGGCTAAGCCTAGAGAAGCTGCAACAGTTACTTTAGGTAGGAATGGAGATTTTGTCATTTCCTGGTTTGGATTTTTTTATCCTTTCAGACATCACCACAGAATGATTGCATCTCATATTGAAGTCTCTGAAATTGTGTCAAAAGGAGAATATTAAGGGCTTCCTATGAGTGTCATATCAGTTCTTAGTAACATGGGGCTTAGCTAATTGTATCATATGAGCTCTAAGAATTCAGGGGCTTCTTGGATTGATTGATTGATTTCTTTCTTTCTTTCTTTAAATCAGATCTCCCAGTGAAATGTTGTTGTCTATAGTTTTTAAAAAACTGTGGCTAGCACTCTGTGAACACTATTGTTTTGTTTCATTTTTAATTTGGAATAGTTTTTTCTTTTTTTTCTTGATCCATTCTTTCCCCCTCCTCCTTGTTTCCCTCCCTGTTTGAACAATTTCTTACTGTTTCACAATACCTAATACACATTTTGGTCCTTCCTTACACTTTTAGTTTCTCACATTAGAAACAATGTGGTATGTAAACATTATTGTAAAGCAGCTCTTTTGCGCATGCTAGTAATTCAGCTTAGACTGTTTATACAGGTTTTTTGTTTGTGTGTTTTTGCTTTATTATTGTACTTTGTGTGCCTGTTGTAACTACTCTAGTTTTGTAAGTAGAATAGATTATTGATTCCATAAAGCAAGGGGTTAATGCGTTTATCCTTTTACCTCTCAATACCTAACATAATCTTTATAGTACCCACTAATTGGTTGATTGGTTGTTGAATTAGACCGAATTTAAAGAAGCTTTAATTTCTTTTTTCTTTTTTTTAATCCTTTATTTATTTGGTACAGGGTCTCATTACACAGCTTAGACTCATAGTGAACCTCCTGTCTCAGCCTCCCCAGTGCTGGGGTTACAGGCTTTCGCCACCATATCCAGTTTTGGTGTCTTGCACAGCATTGTGCCTAGCATGGTATGCGGTACCAGGGATTGAACCCTGGTCCTTGTGCTTGGCAGGCAGGCACTTAGACCACTGAGCTATCTCTCCAGCCCGAGAAGTTTTAATTTCTATATTGTTTCCTGTTGACTTGCTGTTTAGGTAGGGCTTTTTGGTTTGTTTTGGATTGGTTTGATTTGCCTTTTTTGAGACGGGATCTTGCTGTGTATGCTGTCCCTCCAGGCTGGCCTTGAACTCCTAGTGATCTTCCTGCTTTAATTTCAAGTGCTGGACTTACAGGCTTGCTGTTTAGCTTTTGTTTTTAGCTGTCTGAATTTAGTTATAGTTACCAGATACAAGTTCTTTTTCTATTTTTGGTTAAAAAAAAAAAGTGCTTTGTTGGGGAGGAATGGAATTTTTGGTGAAATTATGAGTATTTGTAAATAGGTAATGTTCTACTTAATAAGGATGAAGAGTAGAACTTACTTTCTTTTGAAAGCAGTATTGTCTTACCCAGTGGAAATTTATAGTTATCTTTGTTTTTCAGATGGTAAGGGATCACTTCATTAATGAAATATTCATATTCTATAAGGAATGGGTGGCATGTGATTTATAAATTTTTTTGTGAATTATAGAGAGAATGTTGGTTTAGTCAAAGAAATTAGGAGGCTGATGGCACTGCAAGTGCTTTTGCTATTGAGATAAACTTTGTATTATTTGTGAGTCTCAGTATGTTTTCTACTCTTTAACCAGTTCTTCACTCAGCTTAATTTTAGTATTGGGAGGCTGTGGGCATAGTTTCACATACTCCTTGGGAGACATGATTTCATGATTTTTTTCCCTGTTGGGTCTATGGTAAGTACTTGGTTGTATTTATCCCATGTATCATCTATGTATTGTTTATTGATAGCATATTTAAAGTAAAAGAACATTGAGTTTATAGAGTTTTATGGTTTTAAGACATACTGTAGTGCTTAATTAAAGGTTTCTGTATTTACTAATTAGATACAGATGTATAATAGAGTGTCATCTACAACAGGATCTTTTAATTTGAATCCAAACTTCTAAGAATTTGTGCTTCTAAGTAAATAATGAATCTTAAAATTGTTTTCTAGGACACCGAGTTTCCAGGTGTTGTTGCAAGACCAATTGGAGAATTCAGAAGCAATGCTGACTATCAGTACCAACTGTTGCGGTGTAATGTAGACCTACTAAAGATAATTCAGCTAGGACTGACATTTATGAATGAGCAAGGAGAATACCCTCCTGGAACTTCAACTTGGCAGTTTAATTTTAAATTTAATTTGACGTAAGTAGGAAATGAATATATACTCTGAACCTTTGTTTTAAAGTTTAATATAAGTATAGTGAAATTCTAAGTGATTTTTGTGTAGTTACCTTGTAAGTATAAAATTTTAAAAGCTGAGGTTTTCTTTAAAGGCAAAAAATTCAATTTATGAAGAATTTAAATCTCAAATAATGAAGAATTTTAAATTAAAAGTACTTTTTATGTTGTTGTTCTTTTGAAATGGTCTTTCTGTACAGATCAGGCTGGCCTTAAGCTCACTCTGTAGCCCAGGCTGGTGGGATTGTGAACTTTCATGATCCTCCTGTTCCAGCCTCCTGAGTTCTGGGAAGGCAGTCCTGTACCACCATGTCTAGCCTTTTGTTTGTTTTTTGAGACAGGTCTCACTGACTTTGAGCTCACTGTGTATCACAGGCTGACCTCAAACTTGAAGCAATTTTTCTGCCTCAGATTTCCAAGTGCTGGGATTATAGGTGTTTAACACTATACCCTCCAAAAATACTTTTAAT